AAAAAAAAAAAAAAAAAAAAAAAGAACAAAAAAAAACAAACCAACAAAAAAACCCACAAAAACAGTGAAAACAAGACACTATTTCAAAGTCTGGGCCCTTCCAGCCTTCCAAATACAAGATTTCTGAAAGTTGTATATACCAATTGGAAGAGTGAGACAAAATTAAGAATGGAGCCATGACATTTCAAAAAACAAAATTTACGTAACTGAAGGATCCTTCCTGGGACTAGTTAACTGCCTTTACAAAACAACACAAGAGAACAGAATGAAATTCCAGTGTTCCAAATCCACTTGTTACACTTCAGTATTAACCCACAGCGTCCTGGCAAATGGCATGCTCTCGTCTTGTCTCATCCTAGAGCTTGAATCCTGATTAATTTCAGCAGAGACTCCACAGGCAACAGGAAAGATTGTGGCATTAAAATGTTCATTTATACTTTTGTAGTAGTTCAACAGTGGTCTTATTTCTGGGCAATTGCAAACCATACAAGGTTGGAAGCATCATAACTTAAATGGGAACTAAGACTCAAATGAGAAAAAAAAGGAAAAATAAAAGAAGAAAACCTCTGGGAATCACCAGGGGCATTTAAAGAAACCATAAAAATGCCAGCAATACTCAAAGCCCCTTTTTTAAAAAGGGAACTTCTTTTTGGCTTAAAATATTTCACTCTAAATGAATTTATGTCAGCGGTCAATAATAAAAGAATGTCACTAATACACTGTGGACACCTTTTGCAATGTAGATCCATGCCCTTTTTTTACATGGCGAACTTCAACCTAGCAATTATTACAACAAATGTTATAGTCTAAAGCTCAAACACATTTTAGCATTTTTGAAATTGAATTGAGTACAAACCAAATAAAATTTACATCATAACAAACATTTCCACCTAAGACTGTGGGGACACTTGAGCCTTTCTCATTGACCTCAGGGCCTTTTCGCGCAGGTGCTTTTCTAAGTCGTCGAGGTTATCTTCAGCTTCACTTTCAGTCTCCTAAAAAAGCCACACAGGTCACATCGTTATTCTTGACACACTGCTAGGAGATACCAAGTACAGAGCAAAATCAAATCGTGCTGATGGCTGCATTGCTCTATAAATATACTAAATAGGTAAATTACGAGGCATATTAATTCTACTGCAAAGAAATTATTTTAAAAGTATACATTAAGCTACTTGGCAGCCATTCACACTCTCATGCTTAGTCCTGGCAAATTCCTATTCTTGGTAGGCCACTGAGAAACAGATCAAGAGAGTTAACAGCCAAGTAGTGAATTATTTAAAAAAAGAAAAGAAAGAAAAGAGAAATTGTAGCTCCTAGTAGAAGCCACAGGATGGGGCACACAATACCTTCCTGGGCTCCGGCCCCGCCTC